TTTAACTGTGTAATCACAATTCTTGTGAAATTTGACATTCATTTTTTCGGATTTCCATGAAAAATTTCTTTGGTGTTACTACAGATGATTTATTTCATCTAAAGCCCTTGAAAAATTTAAAAAAGAATGCAATATTCTTTTAATTATTTCTGGTACAGTGTTTTTGTCCCCTGAAAATTAAAATTACTCAATTTCCTGGTGGATTCCATTGTAAATTATCAGTATGCCTATGTAGAAATCCATTTTCATCCGTGGTTCATTTTATTTAAGAAAGAAAAAAAACTTCATTATTAAAACCAAGGAAAACATGCAACAAAACACTGAGTTTCCAAGAACTTGTAGCCCGCACTGCAGCTGGCAGTTTGTTTGCTGTGTGCAGGGTGTTGTTTTCATTTGTGGTTTGTAAAGTGAGTGATGTCTCTCAAACACACCAAACGAAACCACCAGCTAGTCTACGTAGGTTCAAGAACTTGCTGGTCACAAACTTTGTATTGTTTCATTAAAACATTGAAACCCCTAACAATTTCCAGCCATCTTAACCTACTTACACTTGGGCAGTATTAATAACGTGGCATACTTACAAAGCTTTCCGTTTAAAAACCCACAAAGGGCTAACACTAATTAAGAGATAAAAAATATTATTTCCATTTACGTACATGTAGCTTTCTGTTAAACACACGAAGGTTAAGTACACCTTAACTTTAACTCTTAAATTATTTGTGGTACAAAAGTTTGCATAATTTGGATGCAAAAACCAACTTACGACCTGTTGCCTTTAAGGCTACTTTGCTTTGGGCACATGTAGACTCTAAAAGTTTTTGGTAATTGTGAATCTAGAGATTGAAACTAAAAGCTGGTTAATAAAACAAAGTTTAGGTAGTGTTTAACAGAACTTTCGCATTCTAAATCATTTTTTCAATTATTTTACCATCCTTACCGCTCATATCTAGAAAACATTGTTTGTTGTTAAGAGCATCAAAAAGGCTTCCAGCCTCGGCTGAAAAAATCATTTAATATCTATTTTGGGGGCCCAGACATTTTTTAAAACCTCATTCTATTAGTAAGGCTCTGTTTTAATAACCAACCCTGAGTGAGTTTTGTGCAAAATATACGCATACTCCGGCAGAGAATTCACATACGTTTCTATAAGGCCCGTTTTTACCAGAGTTACACAAAATGACATTTGAATGACGAGAAAGACATCAAATCATTCTGAAAAGTGCAAGTGAACTATAATAATAACAATGTATTAATTAATTATTTTTAATGGTTTTTAAAAGATTTTCCAGTTGATATGTAACTCCGGCAAAATTAAAAACGGACCGGCCCAACTTTTTTAAGGATTTCTCCACTTAAGTTTCCTTAAGGCGTAAACTCTCTTTTTAATGACTCCTAGACAGGCCATTAAGGTTAATATATTCACCTTCTTCACATAGACCATAATTTATGCACCTTGTTTACCCCGAAAATTTTGCATTTTGTTTTCAGTTTCTCCTGGATATTACAGTCATCTCAAGAGAAATATTGAATATTGAAAAGAATGTTGATGCAAAATTTTGGGGGCAAACAAGGTGCATTATGGTCTATGTGAAAATGGTGAATCAGTAGATTTCCATTACGATATTATTATGCATTTGTTGGATTTTGAAGTAGCACAAAACCTTGATGACACTACCCCTAAAAAGTAATTGGAAAGTTTGGCACTTGTAGAACTAATATCAGCTATTCAATAAAATCACCCTGCCATTTTCTTGTTAAATGTCTTGCTCAACAAGGAATTTACACCTTCTTAATTGGCTTCTTGATTATGTTAATCTAGATATTGAAAATTTGTGTCCCTAACCAAATGCATAGATTATTTAGTGTTATATTCATGTTTATAAAAATTGCAGTCTGTCAAATCACAGGCATGAAAACCTAAAAATACCTAAAAATCCAAAAAAAAGTTACGAAATTTTTTTTTCCACACACCCTTTCATTACTAGCCTCCCACGCAGACATTCTTAGGGGTTCGTCACACGTTCCTGCCCAACTAAGTGGTGCCCCAATAAGTGGGTTCGTCATGCGTTCCTGCCCCACTTAGTGGAACGTGTGATGATCCCCTAAGAACGTCTGCGTGGGACACTATTTCATTACCAAGCTATTGTTATTTAAAACTAATAAACTCGAAGACATAACAGTAAGTGAACAGTGCAGATTTTTTCGTGATTAATGTCATCAATGGCAAAGTTTTGCATTTTTCTACATGTATACAGTTGGTTGGCTTCACTGGACGTGACCAGGCTAGGTTTATCCAATTAATAAGAAACATCTATTGCTTATAACTTTATTAAATGAATAACAGACTGATAGGCATAAGAGATATGATAATTTTGGTACAGTGAGACAGGCCATCGCGTGATACATAGAGGTTTAACTAACAATTTTTAATCAATTCTCGTGCTTCTTGTACCTTTGTAAAAAAATCAAGAAGTGCTACTCACTAAATCTACTTACTATTACAAAAATATCATTTTTTCATAGGTTTAATGCAAGCCAATAATTAAACCAACTCGTGACGGGAATATCTCGGTGAGCATTCGGAAGTCAGCCAAGCGTGGTCATTGCACGCGTGCTGAACAAGAATGCTGTATAATGAAAGACTAGAAACAATAGACAACTCCCAAAATACAAACTCAGCCAAAATGCTGAAAATTTTCAATGTTTACTCAAGTTTGGGCTTATAGAAGATAATGTCACAGTTTTTCAATGACCCTGAAATTCATAGTCCTGGTAGGTAGTTAATCAATTGTGGCCCTGAAAAAATTTGAAGAAAAAAAACTAGGAATTTTGTTAGAAAATGCTCTTTTCGTGAGAAGGACTCTTAAACGCTGACAAACGTCAACAAATAGCGAAAACTATATTTTCTATATGTTTGCTTTGCTCGAAATCGTTCGCATTTACAAGGCCCTAAAGCGTTTTGCTTTGCAAGGACCCATCTGTTATAACAATCCCCAAAATAAAGGGATCAGTCTCATAGTTTATTAGATATAATCGTGTAAAGTTTGCTTATCATTTTCATATAAATTATGACCTAAATTTGGAAACCGCTGAATGTCTCGAATTGGGTCTTTGTGATTTTGGTGAAACTCTGTCCAGTGCAAGGCACTAATGCGCACTATGTGTAGCCGAGAGATTTTCACGAAAAAATGCCGGTAACAGCAGATTTTCGCCTCAGACTTCAAAGGGGCATGGCATTATAACCACGTGACATTTACTCCGATCGCCAAAAATTTTATGTTGTATTGTAGATTGATCTATATGTTATCCAATCTATGTGTTAGACTTATGATAAAAGTAAAGGTGGGGATACTAGAGAGCTTCAAAGTAGGATGGTACCCCCCCAAAAAAACTGGGTCGAGTCACCTTAAAGACATAACAAAATTGCAATTAATATTAAGTTACATTTCTATTATTTCACATGCAAATCATGAATCAGCATAATCTGTCAGGGTTTATTAAGAAAGTCAGTTTTACAGCTTGCCATTTGGACAAGCTGTACCTAGCATGTGCTAGCCCAATAGACACTTTAACCTGCCCCAAAAGAATTTTTAACAAGCAGAATTTATTACTGTTAAGCAAAGGCAGTTTTGAGGGATGCTTGTCAACTAAAGAGAGCCCTGTCCCCTTATAATACACTGTATGTCATCTGGCAGTTTTAAATCTGGATCATTTGCTTAGTTTCGTTAGGGTTAAAGAGAGGCTGGCTTTGCCTGAAAATCTGTGGAAAACCACTGCCCAGAAATTATCTATGCTTTATTTAGCAAAAATTGTTGGAATAATAGGCTTGATTACCAGCCAATGTTGTTGGGAATGAGCCTGCATGCCTGTACCAAAAAGACTGCTGGTTGCATCGGTTAATTATATGGGTTATCATATTATTGCCAGCTTAAATCAAGTAGGGAGCACCATAAATTATTTTTCCTGGAGAAGATTTCAAAGGTGTTTTTTGATGTGGCATGCAATTGGATTAGAGCATTTTAAGCTTAAAAACCTGAATCTACAACAAAAAGAGCTATAGAGGCTAATAAATGATGTGGATGTTTGTGTGAACCAACTGAATCTGGATTGTATTATTGTCCATTCTATGCAAATAAAAATATTATTATACCACTAATTGTCAAAGAAACAACCACGTGGTAAAAAAGCTAAAAGTGGCTCATCTGGGGCTCTAGACGCTATGATGACTTATCTCACTCCACGCTGCAACAGCTACAGAATGTGATAAGAAACAAAAGGGGACTACCTTGCAGCTTACTGAACTTCTGAATACAATCATGTACTTGATAGAGCAATAAACATCTTTTAGAAATTTCATGTAAAAATACATTTTGTGCATGAAATTAGAGGAACAAACTTTTGGGACACCATGTACATTTCCTTCATAGAAATTAAAAACCTAATTAAGAACATACAGTTGTACTTAGCCTTAATTGCTAATAACTTAACTCCAAAATAAATGAACCGTTTTTACCAGACATCAAAAAAAAATGTAGGTTCTTATTAGCGAGTGTTTATTGCAATGTTTCTCATTCATTTTATCTGTTTTGGTTTCTTTTTAAAGGTTAGGGCGATAACACAAGACTTATTTCAAACATCAGTAAACTTAAGAGGGGATGAAGTTGTTTACAGTGTGTGTGGCTTAATCCAGTCATGTCCAGTGATTCCAATCAACTGCAGCATTAAATTCAAACATCTGCCTTGATGATATTTATTCATGAAAGTGAAATAAGAACTGTTGACTTGTGTCTTCGAATTTTTTAGTTTTAAACAACAATTACCTTGCTTTTGGGAATTACTATACCAGCTGATACCGCTCTATATGCACCCTCGTCTGTAATATCTTGTAAAGCCACAGCAATGTGACCCTGCACGGTCACTGTTATTCCACGTACATAAAATAGATTTAATACTTTTTCATCCAGCTGTACATCATGACGTGCTACTTCATCCAAATAAATTTTGCGAAGAAATTCGCCATTAACAGTGTATATAGCCAGCCTCAGGCGGTCTGCCCCTCGTTTTCCACCAGCAAGGACAACGTAGTCACTTGCCGGGTGACATGCAATGCAATGATAGACATCTCCCTTATATTTGATATTAAATTTGCCAAGCTGGTGTCCCTCCACATCAAATATGTACACACTGTCATCGTATCGGTCCACTATCATGACGCGACCATCACAAGTAGCAGTGATATCTCTTGCATCCTTGAACACTCCTCCACCAAAGCTACAAACGAACTCGCCAGTCGGCTGGTGAACATGAACATCGTCCTCTGTCAACAGCAGAATTTTGCCGGGTTGTTTGCTGCTGCTCACTGTTAGTCTGTTGCCCCAGTCCCCTCTCCTCACAGGAAACTTGTGCTGTAGGTCAGCGCTCTTGTTAAAAACCTGCACTTCCCTCTCTCATTCCTCAGCCCAGGCTTCTTCAGGTCGACCAGAAGATAAATCATGTCGTCCTCGCCTGCAGTGGCGACATCCAAAATATCTGACTTTGTATCGGGGTCATCAGTTTGAGGATTAAACCTAAAATCAAACTTTCCATTGCTATCAAACACCTTCACGGTTTTAACCCAATTGTCTGCTATCAGGAACTCTCCTTTGGCGTTTGTCGCAATACGACACGGGTTCTTCAGCTTGTGCTCCTCTTCACCCTCCTGACCGAATGACCATGTTGTAACACAGCAGTGCTCCTTACCTTGTTTTGTCAGTATTTTAACAACTCTTTTGTTGCGGAGTGGATCCACTTTCTCTTTCCCGGTTTCAACATCAGGCAAAGTCCACATTTTTCCACTACCAAGCATGCTCATTACATCATAGATCCGGTCAGTATAAAACACGGACTGCGGACTGCGGACCACGGACTGCGGACTGGGTATAAAATACGGACTAGGTATAAAACGCGGACTCCGGACTGAGTATAAAACACGGACTGGGTATAAAACGCGGACTACGGACTATGTAAATAAAAACAGCTTTAGAAAGGTAAAACTGAGAGAAATGGAAAGCGGACTAGCAAAAACAGTAGTCCCAGCTTTAACATTCCCTTGGCTGTTCACGTAGTCTATTCTTCCCACGGAGAAGGAAGGTTATGCCGGTACTCAAGGCAACTGAAATTTTACTCTGAATTTATGAAAAGAAGGAGTTAGAAGAGTAGAGATTTCAATTTGCAGTTTTAAACCAATAAGAAGCACCGAATTAAAAAAATGGTATTGGTGTTAGTCAGATCAGTAAAATTCTTATCGAATACCACAATTCCGTATGAGGACTGAATGAAGAACTCAGACGAGAAGGTCAATGTAGGGCATTCCGCGATGCACAAAAGCGGTATTTAGGGGGGAGGGCAAGGGGGGAGGGATTACTCACATACGTGAATAATAACCGCAATGAGTCATCCAACGTTATATTCCAAGCGATGATTATGATGACATGATTTACACCCTGCTCCTGATCCCCGGAAGGGGGTAGTACTGGGAATTCTTGGTGGGGGGTGGTGCCCGGTTCTCCGAATCCTGACCTTATTGCAGACCAAAAAATGTGATTTTCCACACCCATTTTCAGAACAGATCTCTAAAATCCATACCCATTTTCGGACCTGGCCTAATTTAGCCTGTTCCAGGTTCTCAGATAGTTGGGGAGACTCCCCAGTTTTTTCCCGTTTTATTTTCGTGTTCGCGCTTTCTCAATTCAGCGGACCCAACTATCTCGGAGCCTGGAACAGGTTAGGTATAATTAGGCAGAAATTATGTCATCATTACCAAGTTAGAGCGGAAACAAAACAAAAAATTCTCCAAATACATTTCAAATTCGCACATTTCTATTTCGTTTTTATTCATTTGGAATTGAAACGATAAATACGTCCATTCATATATGCTCCCGTAGTTCCCTCGAAAAACAAAATGGGCAAAGTGTTTTCAGACCAAAAAGGCCCAAAACCCCTACCCTTCCCTTACATAAGGGAGTACCCCCCTGATCCTGACCTTTTCATCATTGTTAGAGACCGAGACAAGGTCTAAAAATGGGTGAAGAAAATAGCATTTTGATCTGGCTCATGATTCAGAGAACCGGGCGACACACCTCCACCAAGAATTCATGGGAGTATTTACAACTTTAACTCACGTGTCTTGCTATTTAGCGATCTTTTGATCTTATTTTTCCTTACCTAGAACCAATTAGCACCGTTTTTACCAAAGTAGTCCGTAGCCTGTATTTTATACCCAGTCCGCAGTCCGCAGTCCGCAGTCCGCGTTTTATACCTAGTCCGTGTTTTATACCCAGTCCGTATTTTCCAGTCCGCGTTTTATACCTAGTCCATATTTTATACTCAGTCCGCAGTCCGTAGTCCGCAGTCCGTAGTCCGTGTTTTATACTGACCGATCATAGATCACACGATTAGCGTGACAGACAGAAAAAATTATTTGCCTTCTTTCGTCTTTATTAAAGCGAGCCCTCAATCTCAATCCTTCCTCCAACTCAACTTTGAAATGTTCTTTAACAGCTGGCACTTGGTGTAACTCGTCAAGGCAGACTCTACAAGCCGCTAATGCGTCGGAAGGATTGTCAACCGTCTCCAGTATTGTCGCCATCAGTCGATATTGCATAGCTAACAGGCGATCAGGCAATTCCAAAGCTTCATTATTGAAAGCATCCGTCGCTCTAAGGTGAGCTAATTCAAATTTCTTCTTCGCCCTGCCCAGCTTCCTCGTGGCTGACTCATCCAAGGCAGAAAGTTCCAATTTCCTCATTTCTTTAGCAATATCGAATTCCTCAACACAAGCTGTTGCAACTGCTGTTTTCGTGCGATGCTCGCTACTGGGTCTGGCACTTTCAAACACTTCATACAACAACTCGATTCCTTCTTTAAAAAGGCTGATACTTGTCTTCAAATCCTTTCTTGCCAAACCATCTAACTTCGATTTTATTTCATCGATTTCACGGACGATCAAGCCACGGAATTTCTGATCAGTAACATCACCCTCATTCAACATTTCTGCCAGTTTATCTCTTCCTTTATTCACCAACAGGCCGACAGTGGCTTTAAATACAGCTGTTATTAGTGAAGACATGTTGAGTACTCCTGTTAACGAAGATCTCGGTCTGCAGTGGTATCTCCTTAACCGTTCAGTTCAACCCGGCTGACTGTAGATAAAGAAATGCACGCGAGGTTATCAGTAATAAATTAAACAGGAAAAATTTCAAGAAAAATTCTAAGAACTTAGTAAAAAAGAGGAGAAAATGATTGTCTAATGCTTTAGAGAAGTAACTTAATAGAAGGTCTACCGCTCACGGGTTGATTGACTGTGTTCTCTAACTATATACAGCTAAGTGTTCAAAAAAACCAAAAAATCAATGTTGTATGTTTTGACGAAAAATGACTCTTTGCTTAAACTGTTAGCTGTGAATTTCATCACCGGGACCGTTTGTCCCCGTCCGGCAAGTACGTCACGTTATAAAGACTTCAGGGCTATCTTCTTATTTATGATCGAGTCACCTTAATTCATGTGTGCAGCAATCTCTTTTGCCAATGATATATCTCATGTGCCACTGACTGAATAGATGGTTTTGGTATTCTGCCATTTCAGTTACAGTTATACAGTTTCAGTTATGCTGATCTTCTCTAGTCAATTTATTTATCGTCTCTATCAACACCACTCGGCCGTTCACCGTAATTCGAAAGCTTCCGGAGACCTGTTTGCTGCGGCAGCACTAAAACATGGAATACGGAATTCGGAAACGGAATCACGGAAACGGAAACGAAATCCGTGAAAGAAGGTTCCAAGCGATCGATTTGAAAAAAAAATTAGCGATGACAAAAAAATAAATAAACAGATCAAATAAAGACATAAATGACTTAATTACCTAGGCAGAGGAGACTGCTGTATGACTAGAGGAGTCGATTCCGGCGAAAAAACTATTCATACCACTTCCGGCAATGATTGCAAATTCTCATGGGACAGCAAAGCGAGGAGAAAAACGTCACTGGCAATATGTAGTTCCTTTAGAAAAAGGTAAGTTACATGGAGACAGACTTCGTTTAAATCGACAGAGGCGTCGTTTATATAACTGAGAGGCGTTGTCGTCGAGTTTTTCCTGGGCGTCTTTTCTGGGTTGTCTTCAACAGTGTTCAGTTTTACTTATCAAGGCAACTTACTCAAGAGAAACACGGCGTTGTGGAGTCCAAAGAGAAGAGAGAATTGTGCATGCATTTTCTTGATTTCGCAACTGATTACATCAAGATAATGCTCTATGTTTAATAAGCCTCTTCAACAAAAATATGGACGTCAACGCAAACTCAATTACGCCAGTATTCCAACAGTTTTCAGCTTGGCGAAAAACTTGAACTTCTTGCTAAAACAACGGAACTGCCGGGTCACGTCACAGGTCGGTAATGTGATGAGTATTCAGTTTGGTGACAATTACGTAGTGTGGTCTGAGGCTAACTACTATTACTCTTGCCATTTAGCTAAAAAGGTAATGTTTAACTGTATTATTCAACCCATAAACTCATGAATAAAAATTACTCGTAAAATTACTTTCATCGGCCTTGCAGTGCAATAACCCACACCACGGCAAACGTTATCAAGACACAATAACAAGAATATATTTAAGGGAACTGCCAAAAAAACTAAAAAAAATTCTGTTTGGATTGTACTAAATTATGCAATGTGAAATTCTTTAATTTTCTTTCGTTGATATTTGATTCCGTATTCCGTTTCCGTTTCCG